GCCGTGTTGGTAATAGTTCACACTGGGAACTTATCTGTACCTCTGTCGGCTGAAGAATAGATTGTGATCAATTAATACGTTGGGACACATCGGTGAAAATGTGTTAGAACTATACAAATCGACATGGAAAACATGCCACTGTGGTCTGGAAGATTACATTCAGTGTGTTGCTGCGGATACAGACGTGTCATGTTTTGTGCATATTTTGTACAAGTTTGTAGAAATGCATGGCCTGTTTCGATAGCAAATGGTGATAGTGGTTCCCACCTCCCTGAAGTAGGTACTCAGTTCACAAAGGGTATTTGACTACTCAAAGATTTTCTTTCTTACCCCGGGAGGTATGTATTGTTCTTTGTACCTTGTGTGCCTTCAGCGTTGCATAGTAGGTGAAAATTAACCTGTGGATATTGGATTGCATATGGCATCGACCCCCGAGTTTCAGATTCTAACTGGACTGGGGCAGGGGCACGGAGTCTAAAACAAGCACGTTAAATCATTCATTACTGCACTGCTTTTTCGAAACCGGCAGGCCTCCCGCTGCAGGCTTCTGTCACGTGGTCTGGCGTGTCTGAGCGCTCTGCAGTCGCTTCCCTGTCATGGGACACCTGCAGTCTTCTAAAGGGCCTCATTGCTCACTGCGCCGTGGAGTTACTGGATGCTGCCCATTGGGCCACTTTAGATTTAGCCAGGTTTGGAACACTGGTGTGTGGGGACATCACAGTTGTGCCCTCTTGCTTATTTTTATTGCAGGTACTGAGTGTGTTTATGCTTTGTTAGTTGTAACTTCTTTGAAGAAGAAGAAGACGGTGGTTTGGTGGGGTCGCCTTTACTGTTAGTGAGCCAGCCTTGTCCTCAGACTGTCAGGAGGACTTTCCAGCTTCCCTCAGGGAGAACCTGTTCCGCCCCAGCCCGGTGTATCCGGGTGAGGGAAGCGTCCTTTTGTACTTGGGATGCTTTTGTAGCATTTTAGGTTCGCCAGGACCTTTATTTTAGCCTCGCTTTCAGTCCTTTTCTGATCGATGTCAGATGTCTCTAAAATTTTCAAGACCGCAGAGTCTGGGACGTGGTTCTTGTGGAGCCCATTGACCCACTTATGACGAATCTTCCCCTGAGGTTCGTGGCAGGGAACAGGGTCTGCCTGCCTTTTCTGTCGTCGTGGGGGGTCTGACTCCCAGTTCCTCGGCACTTTGGAAATGGCGTTTGTGTTCAGCGTCTCCGTGCTAGGAGAGTCCACTGGACGGCCTGTCTCTTCTGACTTGTCATTTGGACTCTGGACACGTTTATTTACAAAATACTTTTGGTTGGAATAGAAGTATTGGAATAGACACATTTGCATGGGAAACTCATTCTGATTTGTTTTTTGCGAAGTCTTGTGTGACCTTGGAGATGTCTCTGGTCTTCTGTGAGGTGCAGCCAAGCAATGCCATGGGGTCTCATGTGGCACCGTGGTCATTGTGATCACATTCGTTCTCTCTTAACTCCCTAAGGAGGGATGGTTTTGCCCAAATACGAAATTTTAAAGATATCTGTCAATTTGTGAGTCATTTTTAACACCTTAAAATTAAGTGCCATTACTGGAGACTTTCAACTGGACACATTTTCTGGAACTTGACCCACGTTCCAGTTGTCTCCCAGAGGTTAACGTTGCCTTTAAGATCTAGAGAAGACTGGCCTGCCTTATTTTCATCCTCTAAAGCAGGGGTTGGCAAACGTTTTCTATAAAGGGCTAGATAGAGGGCATTTTAGGCTCTGGGGGCCAGAGGATGTCTGTTGCGATGACTCAGCCCTGTTCTTGCAGTGTGAAAGCAGCAGAGACAATGCATGCAGTTTTAAGGAGTTCTAGCTGTCTCTGTCGGTCATCTACAGTAGAAACTTTTCACCCTGGCTGGGGTGCTCAGAGGGTTGAGTGCCGGCCTGCGAACCAAAAGGTCACTGGTTTGATTCCTGGTTAGGGCACATGCCCGGGTTGTGGGCCAGGTGTTTGGTTGGGAGTGTGCAGGAGGCAACCCGATTGATGTTTCTCTCCCTCTCTTTCTCTCTCCCTTCCCCTTTCCCGTAAAAAAAAATCTTAGAAACTTGTCTCTTCTTGGGATATTGGATTAGAGACCTCAGAGAATTCTAGTGAAGGTGCTCAATTTTCCTCAAGAATTTGACATTTGAATATCTCTTAATAACTCATTAAATAGGTTGCTAGTGCATAGATTCCAGATATGTGTAAAAATTGTCAGGAAAATAGGAAAGGATTGCAATTTTGGCTCATGTGGAGGCCGGCGCGGAGGCTGAGGATCATAACGAGAGCTGGGCGCTGCTTCCAAGGTGCTGGTTGTGGTGTCTGCGAGGCCTCCAGCCCTGCCCGGACTTTGCAGATGCCCACGCGCGCACGGAGAGGAGAGCCTGTGTCTGCGTGTGTGCCCTGCTGCCGCTCTCAGCCTCTGGGAGTCACTCACTCTCCGTGTTTACACTGAGCCCGCGCTGAGTCCCGGCAGGTGCCAGCCGTGTGGCTGTACAGACGAGCAAGCTGTGGAGCTGGCTTTTGACAAATTAAGTTCAGTGGGGAAACAGAAAACTAGAAGACGTGTTTCCCGCCATGCACGTATGTGCACCCCGTCATTTAGTCGGTCCCTTTTCAGTGGACTCTGTTGCCGTTGCTGATTTTCCTTCTACCGAAGGCATCATTCTGTCTCGGCATGGCACTGTGACGGTCCCATCTTTATTCAAAATGTTGAATATGTTGCTAATTGTGGAGGCTTTTTTACAAGCTTTTGATTAAAACAAATTGATTAAAAATTGTACTTTTGATTAAAAAATTATATTGCAATGTATTTTACAATCTTGGTCACTGAGTGTTTTGACACCCCTTAAATTTGTACCCCAAACAAATGCCTACCCTGCTCACTGCATGTGTCCTTGCTAGTTAAGTGTATGCTGAACATTGCAGAAAGTATGTCATGGACTCTGGACTCTGTTGTCTTTTCCTGAAGGGACCTGATGTTTGTCCTCACAGGCGTCAGCTTTACCTGACTCCTCAACTCTGGCTCCCTTGTGGTGGCCAGCAGCCAGAGCCCACACCTCAGTGCTGGGGTGCCAGCTGTCCTCTGCACTGGGCTCCCGCTGTCGGCCGGGAGCCGGCGCTGTTCGGAGCCGGCCAGGGCCTGGGTCGAGTTTGGGTTCTGTGCTTCTCTTGTTCTGGGATCGGCCTTGCGGGGCTTCCCTCTTCCTAGCTTTGCTGTTCGCTGCCATTTCTTTAGCTCTGTATTCTGTGTCGTGTTTCTCCTTTCCATGTGTCAGTTGCCTTTGAGTTTTATAGTCTGATTGTTACAGTTTTCATTTTTGTAAGTTTTGCTAGGTCTCTTTTGAAGTGCCTGGTCATTTATAATACTCAGTAGAGCCTTAACCATGTTTTTAATTTCTTCTTGAATTATTTATGCCTGTTAAATATACTCATTTTTCTATTCTGTAATTGATACTTCTAGTATATAACTTTTAAAAAAAATTCTGGCTCTTATTCTTTCTTTGTGTTGTTATGTATAATTTCTTGTTCTTCATGCATTTCATTATTTTTATTAAGAACTTATATTTGTTAGTACTGTATCTGTGGGAATTCTTTGAAGAACAGGCTGAGGGTCCTTTAAGAGAATGTGTGTTTACTTTGGCAGCTGAAGGAGCTCCTGTCCCTGGTCTCTTTGTGTTAAAATTATTGGCTTGTGGATTTTCAGGCCATACAAAAAGTACGGACTTGGCCAAGCTCGAAAGTTAACTTTCCCCTGGCTTTCTGCGGGGCCTGTGGTCCGAGTCCGTCTGGTGCCGGCCCGAGGCTGTCCGTCTGCCCGACGCCATCAGTACTTAGGCTCCTTGCTTCCGAAATCTGGCATCTTCGGCGCTTACCTCCCCGGATTTGTGTTTTCACCGACTTCTTGGTCAGAGGTGTTTCCCTTCTTTTCTTGCCAGCTCATCCATTCTTTTAAGGGCTTGTGAAATACTTGTGTAGCCTTTTTTATTGCTTTGCATGTGAAGTTTTGGGATCTCTGTTTTGCAGTATTGTCAGAACCAGTCCCTACAGTTTTCCAGTTTCCATTAAACTCTCTATTACCTGTTGTGGTCAGTTCCCAAGACTACTTATAGAGTCCTATTTAACTCTGCATACTGTTTTTTTTCCTGTTTTTTATTTTATTTTTATTATTATTTTAAAATCTTTACCCAAGGATATGCAATGAGAGAGAGAGAAAGGGAAAGACAGAGAAAGACAGAGAAAGGAAGGATGGATGAAACATTGATGTGAGAGAAGCATTGATTGGTTGCCTCCCACATGCGAAACTTCATTTGGTTGCCTCCCATACACACCTTGAGTGGGGGTCAAGCCCATAACAGAGGTATAGCCCCTGTCCAGAAATCAAATCCTCCACCTTTTGGTGTACGGCATGACACTCCAACCAGCGGAGCCACTGGCCAGGGCTGCGTTCTGTGTGGTTGGTTGGTAGGAATGGTTGGGGTTGTGGCCCTCTTCGTCCCGCAGGCTGTGGATTAAACAGGCTTGTATGTCCCCCACCCCCCCCCCCCCCGCTGGCTGTGCAGACGTCGTGGGTAATGCTCATTGACTGAAAAGATAGGATTGAATTTAAACAGCTAAATTGAACTCTCCGAGTTCACTGTACTCACGAGTTTAGGGTTAGCCGTGTGTAAATGCAGGATTGGTAACAATAGAGATGATCCGTAAAGGTGGTGCGTGAAGCTTCCTGTCTGCGTTTGTGTCTCTGGATGCTGTGAGCCTGTAAGAGGTAGTGTTACTGCCTTTACTGCTCAAGTTTCCCGTTTTCCTGTAGGCTCACAAAAGCAAGTATTATTTTTACGTACCTTCTGATCACTCTGCCTGTCATCCAGATTTTAGACTTGGATGTAAGGAGCCCCTAAATATGCTCAGGTCTTATTAGCCAGGAGCTGGATGTAGGGTGCAGTGCAGTGTGGAGGGGCCCGGACTTCACCACCTTCTGTTTGCGTTACAGGCTAATGCTGATGTCCCTGTACAACGTGAGCATCAATCTGAAAGGCTTGAAGTACATCAGCGAGAGCCCAGGATTCATCCCTTTGCTGTGGTGGCTTCTGAGTGGTAAGGAGAGTTACTGCACGTCTCTCCGTACAGCTCACACACCTGTCCTCCGGGCTGAGGGTGCGCGTCACGTATGAGAACTTGGGGCCAACCGTCCCATCGTGTTACCATTTCTTCAAAGGAGTGTTTGGCTGATAGAAACTTGGGTATGCCAGGCTATTTCCAGTTCTGTTTCTCAAATACTGCTTTCAATTTAGGTACGATTTTGTGACACAAAGAAAAATGATGAAACAGCTGGTAGATGCCATTAACCTGTCTTTCCTGTGAGGATAGTCCAGGACTCCAGGGATTGTCCGCGGCTCTGGGTAGCAGGTACAAGAGCAGCCCCAGAGTTAAGGAATGTGGGGAAAAGGAAATCTGAGCAAAACTACAACTCTCGCAAGCTTCACATTCGTGCATGCACTGTAGCATAGCTAATTATATATAATGTGTATGTGTTCTCTTTGTTTTCTTTGAAATAAAAGCTATTCATACTCTCTTTTCCTCTTCTCCTTCACAACTACTTAACCTGCATTTTTCTACCAATCTATTCATCATAATTTTTTTAATCCTCACCTGAGGGTATGTTTATTTATTTGAGAGAGCGAGAGAGCAAGAGAAAGAGAAAGAAACACTGATGTAAGGGAGGAACATTAATCAGTTACCTCCTGTACACACCCTAACCGGGGATCAAACCCACAGTGTAGGTGTGTGCCCTGACTGGGAATCGAACCCACAGCCATTTGGTGTATGGGATGACACTCCAACCAGCTGAGTAACCTGGCCGGGGCTGTTTATTGTAATTTTCAACACTGTATTTAGTAGGTACATATTTCACTCAAGTATGCAAAATAATTGACTTGTTTTTTTTTAAGTTAGATAAACTTTTATGTTTGAGCTTCAGCTTCACTTGGTGGCAAATGTTCATTGTTTGTTACAGGCATCTTCAGGTGTAATTGATGTGCAATGAACTGCACACAGGTAAGGCAAACAACCGATAGGTTTTCGTGCACATGCACGCCTGTAAAATCATCACCGCAGTTCGGATAGTGAGCTTACCTACCGCCCCCAAAGGTACCTTGTGCTCTCGCCTCCCAACCACCTGCTGTCTCCGCACTCTCAACTGATTTTCATTTGCTACAGCGTCACATAAATAGATTTGTACATTTTGTATTCTTTCATGCTCAGGAGAATTATTTTGAGATCTGTTCATACTAAGTAGTATTCTGTTACACGGCTATACCACAATTGGTTATTTATTCAGCTGTTAATGGGCATTTGGGTTGTCTCCAGGTTTTGGCTATTATAAATAAAGCTGCTATGAACATTTTATGTAAGTCTTTGCATGGACATATGCTTTTATTTCTCTTGGGTAGATACCTAGGAGTGGAATATCTAGGTCATGTGGTAGGTGTATGTTAGTTTTTATGAAGCTGTCAAATAGTTTTCCAAAGTGGTTGTACCATTTTGTTCTCCCCCAAGCAGTGTGTTAGCTTTCTGGCCTCCGCATAGCCTGGTCAGTCTGTCTGATGGTCATTCTTCATTAGACATTCCAGTAGGGCTGTATCAGTACCTCACTGTGGTCTTAATTTGCATTTTTATTAGGACTAATGAAGTGCCTCGGAGATGGGAACCTCGGTTCTGGGGGACTTCTCAGCGGCACTTCCCTCCAGGCCCAGCTTGGCCTGGCCTCTGAGACAGGCGTCCTGAGGCCACACGCCCCTCTCTGTTTCAGCCGGCTTGCAGACAGGGATCCTCAGCGCCTTCTGCAAATTGTCTACTTTCTCATAAAAAGAGGGCCCTAGGCTAAATGTTCTCTATGGCCCTTTCTAGCCCTCCTGCTCTAGAAATTTTCCTGGGCTGAGTAAAACTTGTTGGGAGTTTCACTGTAGTTTGTGCAGCTCCCTGGGGAGCGAGCGACCCCAGGGGCGGCTGTTCCTCACACGCGCCGCACCCAGAGCTCTTGCACCAGCCCGGCTCTTCCTGCCTGAACCTCGGTCACGGTCACGCGCAGTAGGGCTGGTGCAGCTTTTTGCCCCTGGGGCATCAGGCTTTCCTGTCCACGAAGTCAGCGCTGTTCTTTTGTTAAAAACACAGTGAGCACAGCTCTAACCCTCACAGATGTTTCTAGAGGTCACCTTACTCGATATCCTTAGAGCTGTTATCACAGTCAAACAAAAACAAGGTGTGCTGAGCCCGGGGTGTTTGACCCCTGAGTTGTGTATGAAATTACCTTAACTTAAAAATGGACCTTTGTTACAGGATTTGGTGTGTATTTTAGGAAGGCGAATACGTACTGTACTGTAGGATAGGAAAATAGGAGCAAAAATAGTTCCCTGACAAATAATGTGTGCTTCCTCTGTTCAGGTGGTGTGATTGCTTTCAGGATTCTAGATTGTAATAGTAGTTTAGGACTAGAAGAGAATTTGAAAACTGGCTTATCTAGACTAATAAGAATGTTTTCTAATTTAAGAAGATCTAGGAAAAATGATTTTACTACTTCTCTCAGTAATCAGCTTCTACTTTTATCAGTTTTTCCATTAGGAAATTCAGTATATTTTAAAGAACATAGACTTCGGATTTGGTAGACCCAGACGGACACTGCAGCTCTCCTGCTTAGAACCTGCCTCCCCTTTCAGGGCCCCTCGTCTCTGATCTGTGTGTGAGCGGGGATTTCTGCCCCCGGGGCCTTCACGTTCACTGAAGGGCAGCAGTGCTTGGGCTGCTACTCAGTACTCATACAGCAGGTGTTAAATTGGTGTTAGTTTCCCTTTTTTATTTTTAATCTGAGTCTTCCATGCTAAAATGAAAGCTCATTTTCTTTTATTTCAGTTGACCTAAAGGTGGCAAATTGCTTTCAAGCACTTGGACTTCTCTACTGTTAATCATTTCTGACTAAATAATCTAATTTCTTTTAACCTTTGCTGGATCATTTTCCCTCCCTTTATTCAACTATGTGGCTGGCCTTTTCCCAGGCGTTCTCCAGATTCTTCACATTCCTTTTAAGCCACAGGGCTGGCAAAGAACTCTAGCAAATAGCTAATGAGAACAGAGTGTATTGGGATGATGACCACAAGTTGTGTAACCGTTAATGCAAACGTGTTATGATGACTCTTTTAACAGTAGTGCTGCATTTCCTACCCAGGTTTCCATGTTGGCTAGGTGTTTGCAGACCATCTCACATTTATTTCGTTTGTCTAATTAACATGAAACATTGATCAGTTGCAGCAAATTTGTGTCTCCAGCCCAGACTTCTCCCCGAACTGCAGACTCGCATATCCGACTGTTTACTCGACATCTCCTCTTGGACGTCCAACAGACCTTCAAACTCAACGTGTTTAGACTAAATTCCTAATCTTCCCCTGCACTGAACTCTACCTGTGGCCTTCCCAACCTCAGTTGACAGCAAGTCTACTTTTTTCCAATTTCTCGGGCCTTTTAAAACCTTGGGGTAGTTCTTGTCTTTATTTTTTCTCCCAGACCCACATCCAATCTGTCAGAACATCCTGACAGCTCTATTTTCCGTTATATCCAGAATCTGACCACCACTGACCGCTGCCACCTGGTTCTGGGTCATCCATTCTCTTTTTTTGGAGAGCTTCAGCGCTTCCCGCAGCTCTCCCCACAGTCCACCCTTGCGGGCCAGGCACTGGGAGCCCGGGGTGTGAGGGGATATTTCCCAGACCAATGCTCCTCACTGAAAACAGCCAACACATGCTAGTGGACTCCGGGGGTCCATTTGCCTGTGCACATCAAAGCCCAGTAACACGGAACAGTAGTTTGCAGCAGAGAAACTGGAGACTTATTTAAGGAAGTGGCGCTAAACCTAGAGGCACAGGTGAACTAATATTCTGAAACCTGGCTCCTGGAAGTGGAGCAGACAAAGAATTTACACGCATGACCCACAGACAGGAGCAATGGTGGGTGGGGTTGCCTGAGGGAGTGGGGGTGCTGGGTGAAGGGGACAAAGGGAGAAAAATCAGGACAACTGTAATAGCATAATCAATAAAATATAATTAAAAAAATGAAATACTGATCTTGTATCCTGCAAGAACATTTATTACTTTAATGCTAAAAATAAAAAAACAAAACCTGGCTTCTGCTGGCCTGCCTGGGACAGATTATGTATGGGGAAACTCATTAATCATGGTGACTAAGGGAGTTAGGAGTGGGTGGTCATTGGTATCAGGCCCTAATGTCAACTGTGGGTCATCCTAATTTCATGAGAATGTGGTCAGTAGGGTTGTTCTGCTTTCAAGGGCCTGGGGCTGAAAACACAACTGAGGTCAAGATGTTATCTTTAGTTTGAGGAAACTTTGTTTCTGTGGTCAGCAGGCCTGAGACTTTGTTCTTAAAGCAGTTTCATGCTGACCAGAATCTGATGTCCTGAGGGCTTAATGATTAAGGAAGGGAGTGGACACACAGAAAGGAGAAGGTTCTTGCTGGGAGATAGCTAAAGGAATGTTCCTCCGAGCTAGGAAAACAGTAGTTATTCCCTGATCACAAAAGCAGAGTTGGCAAAAAATGCCCTGCTTTGAGGGCATTTGTCAGACTTGACCTTCAGGTTCTGTGGCCTCAGGGGGTGGGGACAGGAAGCAAAGCTGAAGATTCCACCCCAGCTGAACAGCCTGACGGGGCTGTCAAAGGCATTTACCGACAGTACCGAGGTGAACGGAAGGTGCTCCTCTGACCCTTGGGGCCTGCAGGGAGATCGCCTTTTGGACCTTTGGCAGTGAGCACAGTGGGGGAAAAAATCTCTGAGCATCAGTCATCGCGGGCTGGTTTTCCTGCCGCTTTGAAGACTTAATTAAACCGACTGGGTGGTCCCCATTTAGAGAACAGTGCAAATCATTTCTGGAGGATTCTTTGACTTCAACCAAGTTCCTAAAGAATTTTTGCAGGTGAGGTTCCGAGAACTTGAGCTCACGTGTTAAAAATCACGAAGAGCACGGGAAACATCATTAGTGAAATAACAGCTTTCTAATCTCAGGCATTCATCACCAGAAAAATCATCAGACCCG